AATAGCATTATTCAGAATTTTATCTTTAGACTCTCCTCTCCTTCCCTTTCCTCTCCATCACTCCCCAGGTTTCCCTGTCCTGTACACTATCTCTTGGCAATCCTACTCTCATGGGCTATATGCTTGTGACTACCTAATCCATATCTCTAGCTCAGAATCTGCTCCCTAGATCCATCTATCTGCAACTACATACAAAAATCTTCCCCTGGATGTATTGCAAATACCCACATTCAATCCCAAAGTGCTCCTCCTCCGAGTTCTTCCATATAGTAAATGACATAATTCCTACACCCACTTTCCCAAACCAAGAATCTGAAAGCTATGCTGAATTCTGTCCCTGAATCATTCCATCAAATTCTGTCCATTGTGCTCCTTCTTAAGCTCTCAAATTGGTCTGCTTTTTGCAGTTACCATACCACCACCTTAATTTTGCTTTTATTGTTTCTCAGATTACTAGAACAGTCACCTAGCTCCAGATTCCCTGCCTTGAGTTTTGTCACTCCCCAAGCGCATGTCCACACTGCCCAGAATCGTGCTTCTGAAGTCTTCATGGAGGCCTTCTTGAACTGGCCTGTTCTCACTTTTCAGTGAGAAGTTTCTATCTACCCAGCATCTCACTATCCCCTCCTATCCATCAAAGTGATCATCAAACCTGTTATTTCCTATCACTTTCTCCAGGCCTTTGGCCAGGCTATTTATAACACATTCTTTATCCCTCTTCCCTGGGATAACCTCCACTTGTTGTGTAAGGTTCAGCTTCAGAGTCCTACCTTCAGGGAAGAAACCTTGACTAGTAATCTATAAATGCCTTGGCTGGCCCTCCTCTCTGCACCCACAACACTTTCTGCTTCTCTTTGTTATTTTATTGTATCTACCAGATTCTTTGTCTGCTTTCCCAACAGAAGACTCAAGGGTAGTAGATAGGAGACCTTTGAGGAGCAATTCTGATCACATGTATAACTCCTGCCAGATTGCCAAAGGAAAGGATTTGGACAGAAGAGTCTCAGAAAGCAACTGAAATCGCCCCTAATCATTGTGGGGGCAAAAATGATCAAGTTTGGGGTTGGGAAATGAGACCCATTTGTGTTCACTAGTAGGTACAGCCAACTCACATATTGTGTTACATTGTACAGCACATTTTTTAGCATTTTCTTACTTGGAGATTGTTTTGAAATATGTGTTTTGTTCTCCTCATTCATTTTAAGCTCCCTGTGGTAGAAGACTTTAATCTCTACCAGATATAACATCAGAGGTCAGGCTCCAGAGTTGAAGAGTCAGGTTCCAGTCCCAGAAATTATAACAATCCCATGTGAATGTATCAATAAAGTGATCATAGGATGGTGATCAGTGAAATATAAATGGACTGTAACTGAGAACTGTAGTTTGGGGTAGAGATTAAAAATGTTCTAAGGAAAATTTTAAGAAAATGAATAAAAGAAAATGTTAAAGAAAATAGGTTTCAAGTTTTTATATTGGAAAACAATTGAAAAAGACATAATCATGTTAGTGTTGAATTGCATATTTGTGTTAATTCATGATTTAAAAAAGAAACTATTTTTTTAAAGATTTTATTTATATATTTGACAGAGAGACACGGCGAGAAAGGGAACACAAGCAGGGGGAGTGGGAGAGGGAGAACCAGGCCTCCCACGGAGCAGGGAGCCCGATGCGGGGCTCGATCCCAGGACCCTGAGATCATGACCTGAGCTGAAAGCAGATGCTCAACGACTGAGCCACCCAGGCGCCCCATAAAAAAAAAAAAAAACTATTTTTTTCAGTGTTATGACCATGTGGTTACTTACAGTAGCACCCTGCTCATCACTGGTATTCATTGGGAACAATCACATATAGATTCTTTGGCCTATATATTTGATCCCTTTTTTTTCATATTTGATCTCTAATACTATTCATCCTTTATAAGAAACAAGTATCTTTGGAGAGTAGCTAATTTCATGTCTCAGGGTAGGAAAAAAATCAATCTGGGTTTGAAAATCTTGTTTTTGCTACAAATTTTTCTTTCAGAAAATCTCAAAGGGTACAAAAAGGTAACACAGTCAGCATAAAGAATTCCCAGGTCAATTTGTGATGCTCGAATACCCCAAATAAAATAATAAGAATTTTAATTAAATGGAAAGTTGAGGTTGTTATATGAATCATAAAGTTGCTTCAAAGAAAAATTTATAGAGCATGTTGCAGGCTTGTTGTAATATAAAGGAAGGGTAACTATAGTAGGATATGCTTAATGTAAAACTTATTTTTAGTGAGCAGAAGAGTTTTAACATATAGACCTATTTTGTATCTTTTATTAAGTGTATGCCGACTTACAACATGTAGCTTATTGAATTTCTAGCTGTGTAAATAGGGTTGTGAAAAGTTTTACTTCTCAGGTACTGCATAAAATGGCTGTAGAATTCCTGAGAATGCCTGGTATTTAAAGCTGTTTTGTTTTGTTTTCCTTCATTGGTACTTTTGTGAGTTTCTTCAATGCCCATGGTGAGAACATTAAGCTATTTGTGTGTGTGTGTGTGTGTGTGTGTGTGTGTGTGTGTGATGTTGATTACTCATCTTCCTCTAGCTAGCCACTTTCCTTATCCTTAGCCCTGCATTTCTGATGGTCCAATATGCAGACTCTCTCCTTTGAGGTCCCATTTTCACTACAGGTGCCCTCTTAGGCAGCATTTAAAATGGCTCCAGATCTGTTTATCCTCACCTATGTGGCTCCACATCTGGTTTATGGGAAATAGTTATTCATCCTTCCCTTAAAAACTTTGGGAGTACAAACTGCCCAATGCAGATACTTCTCCTTTGCTTCTGCTGCTAGAGTTTATAGCCACCAATTGTTCCCTTGTCATTTTTATGACAGGTTTAACAAAAGCTACAACACTCCCTAGCTGCAGATGGCATATGGCAGCTTCTGTGAGAACTCCCATTGAAACCCTGGTCTTCTGACTTGCGACAAAGGGGGAGAGCACACTCAACTCCCCTTCTTTACCGGTTTAGATAGAACTGGGAGCACAGCTGTTCCTCAGGAGCTCCCTCTCACACAGCTCACCAATCTGTTTTCTGGCCTCAGTCTGAATAACGTTTATGTCCTCAGTCAGGACAAGGTCTTTAACTTGTTCTTCGCCATCCTTTTTGAAATGTCTGAATGCTAATCTCTCTCCCACATCATTTTGGGATCTGCAATCTATTGTTTTTGGGTCTCAGATACAATTTCATTTTAATATCCAGTTAGACATGTTTCCCATAATGCTAGTGCATTTGGGACAATATAAGGAAATAGCAAGAGAATGAGTTTTATAACACTGACCAAATTAAACTTTGAAAATGTCATTTTAAAGAAAGGTACCAGGGTACAGACTCCTTATTAGTCACTCAAGGTTTGCATCATTGTGACCCCATGTGGTGACTTCCAACTGATTGGTTGATAACACAAATCGAATACCCTTGGCATGTTTGAGATAATACAATTGTGTGTGTATTGGGGGCTGGGGGAAGTCTTGTAACATTGCTATAATCCAGAACGGTATTAAAATATTTATTATTGTGGGTCACCTGGGTGGCTCAGATGGTTAAGCATCTGCCTTTGGCTCAGGTCATGATCTCCAGGTCCTGGGATTGAGCCCCACGTCAGGCTCCCAGCTCAGTGGGGAGTCTGCTTCTCCCTCTCCCTCTCCCTGTGCCTCTCCCTCTGCTTGTGCTCTCTCTGTCTCTCTTTCTCTCAAATGAATAAATGAGATCTTTAGAAAAATAAAATAAAATACTTATTATTTTAAGTAGCCTAAAAATTATAAGGCTAGAAATAATGAAGAGATAAGCCCACAGGACTGATAGTTTTAAAAAGTAATGCATTTTAAATTATTGTATTTACGTATGTTTTGCCTGCTATTTTAAGTGTTTAAGAAAACTAAATTTTTAGGTTTTGTGGGGTTTTTTTTGTTTCTGTTTCTTTTTTCTTTTCTTTTCTTTTTTTGGGGGGGACATGGTTAGTAGACACTGTCAGCTCTCTAAAGAGATTATACTCTGCCTCAACGGAATAAATAGTAAAGAATTTGCAACCATCTTTAATCTACCACATTAACTATATGGAACTTTTCCCCCAGAGATTCTTTCTAAAAATTTTAAATGTCTTAACAAATTATTTCTCTACATGAAAACTATTTTATACAGCAAAGTTTAACAGATTGATTATTAATTACATTGCAAGCAATGGTTAGTATGCCTCTTCACAACATAAAAGTACCACAGACACTAAATAAGATTAGCAACAGCTAAACTGATTACACCAGAAGAAGAAAGTAAAATACAGAAATATAAAATTATATGAAACACCAGGGAACCACTCTTAGAGCCATCTCACTGTTAGTTAACCTTTTCAAGAACTATGTGTAAGACACTGTAATAAGTGTTTTGTCCAGATTGTCTCACTTATTCTTCATAAAACCCAATGAGGTATGGTCTAGTATTGTTTGGACAGTTGCATAATTGTACAGTTGTATATTTATAATTGTGAGGAAATGATAACTTGAATTAAGTAAATTGCCCAAAGTCAAAAGATTAAAAATGGCTGAATTCAGTCCAGGATTCTGGGACTAAACCACAAGGCAAAACCTGGATACTCACAGCTCTGTGTTGAACAAGGATTGTCTTCTACATGCTCCCTTATGGTAGTAACAAGATTAAGGAAGTTTCTGCTTTGTGTGTATTTTTTTTTTTAAGCATTGTTCTCAACCATTTGATTTATTGAAAGGAGATGCTGTTCTGGTTCTTGATTTAGCACCAACCATTCTTTTGTTTACATAGAGTTACAGTTTTATTTGTTGTTTTGCTCTGTACTGGAAACATAAATAAAGTTTTCTACATTATTTGCAATCAAGGGTTGTGGTATAGTTTCTTTGTGTATTTGGCATGATATGTACATTGTCTTTCTGGGATTCATCTCCTCACCATGGAGTAAAGAGAGCTTTGGGTTCGTTTCAGCATGAGTGATAATGTTAAGAATTAGTATGCTGAGAAGGAGCCACTGGGCACAAAAAGAAGGTTGTAAATGAGATCCCAATACATAGGTACCAGGTGCTTCTTTCTCCTGTTCACAGAAGCAATCCTCCACCACTAAACTCCATCCACTCAGGGGGCTCAATGAAGGCTAACCAGTCTGATGCATGTGTAGGCAACAGTCCCATTGACTGGCACTTATAAACAGCCAATGCCAAACCCATGAGGTTTCCAATGAGATACATCAAACCCTGAAGAAGCTTTAGCATCTTGAAAGTGGCTGAAATGGCCATAAGTGCCTGAATGGGCCACCAAGCCATCATATACACCATCATAGTAGGGAAGATGGAGATCGTATTACCTGCCATGTACATGAAGAAGAGGTTCATGGGAATCTGCTTGAGGGGACCTAAGGCAATGTCCCAGCAGCGCTTCTCCACCAGGGTCCGCTCTGTCTCTTGCACGCTGGTATCAGGCATTTGCTTGTCGAAGTAACCGACAGGGTACAGCAAGTCTCCCTGGCCACTGCCCTGGTCACTTTGGCTTCTGCTGCCTCCTCCAGGCCCGCTCAGCTCAATGGTCCCCTGGAAGCGCCGGCCTCGGTTGGCCACCAGGCTCCCCTGGGCCATCATGGCCACGGCCGCCTACCAAAGCTGTGAAGCTCCTTACTCTAAAGCAGGGGACCCAGGTCCACTGACACTGGCTACTCCTTGGTCTTACTCTGCTGTGTGTTTGTTTTAATATTGACTTTTCCTATTAATATGTGGTACTTTCTTCCAGTTCCTTCTTGAGTAAGAGACACACTGATTTTTTTTTTAGTGCTTTCAATTATATCTTGTACTTTTTTAGCTTAATTTTATAAAATTTAGAAATAATTATGTAGAAAAAAATCACCCATTATTTCACTTTCAAGATTAAGTTGTTATTTATATATTGAACTCTTTATGACCTTTCTTCTACACATTTTCTACATTGTTTACACTGCATTGGCCATTTTGTGGCCTGCTTTGTATTTTTGTTTACCATATCATAAACATGTTCTAATGTTATTGAAAACATTTTAAACATCATATTAAAATTTTTATACTAAAGAACATTTCAAATATACACAAAAAGAGACTAGTACAGTGAACTCCATGTATTTGTTATGCAGTATCGAAGTAGCTAATAATTCATCCAAAGCGATTTCTACTCCCCTCTGCTCCAATTCCTACATCATTTCATCTAAACATTACTTTCAGTATTTGAATGTTATTCAATCTCATCATGAACCGCATTTTCCCTATATAAAAAATCTAGTTATCATTGAAATCTCATCACAGTGTTCCTGACTAGATTAAACACACTGTTCTATGATTATATTAAGAAGAAAAAACGTTATTTGTGCTCTCGTATGAACATCTGTGCCATATGAAACTTTCTCTAATTAACTTCCATGCTGCTGCTGAATTCTCTAGCATATACATGACACATTGACATACCAAATCCATTAGGCTAATGAAAAAGCAAGGCTCTGGTATTAATCACTTTTGAAACCATAAACTCATAACTAGTAACGTTGAATACACGTGATAAATTGCAGACACAGTCGAGGGTTCTGAGGCAAGCATTAGAAAGTGAACACACCTTTCATCTTAAAATATTAACAGCTCTTCACGGTAAAAGTTTTCTTTTCATTATAGACTCAATTTGTTTTAACACTTCCATTGGCCCTCACCTTTGCCCCAAATAGTATTTATCAGCCTGATTGACGTTTCCTGTCCACGTAATGAAGCTAGTGAAAAATGCCTGCCCTCCAAATACTGCCTCAGGGGCCTTGCTAAAATTCTCTCAATAATCTTTTACATCAGCAAAAATAATTTAGGGGAAAAAAGTCTGTGACAAGAACTAGGGATTGTTTATGAGGTAAAAGAATGTCTTAGAGCCAAATGCAAGGATATCAGGTTATGTGACCATAGGCAAAAGTCTGTCAACAATTTCATTTAAAAACCCATTTCTAAAAGGTTTACAGCTCTGCTGATATGGTTACCATGGGTCCCACTCTAACTTAAAAAAAAAAAAAATTGTGAACTTTTAAATTACATTTGCCAATCCATTTGGGCTGAGGACTTAAGAAAAAGGAAAACAGTAAAGTATTTTACTCTGAAGCATATTTACTCTTTCTACATTAATTACTTTTCCTGCAAATACGTGCTCATTCTAGAATTGAGATACAAATTAGGAACTATTTTTGCATTGTTCGCTCATTTTGCATTTAATTCTCATCCTTTCTCTCTCTCTCTCTAGTCCACTAAGTACATGGATGTTAAAATTGCACTCCGGTCCCATGTATTCACCAGTGTAATTTGGTTCCTATGATTTTTATTAACAAATATTTGCTTCCATTTATTGAATGCTTACCATGTGTCAGGCACTTTACAAACTTTACCTCAAAACTTCACCTCACAACCATGTAAGGTAGATGTTACTACTCCTTATAACAGATAAGTGAACTGAACATCAGAAAGATTAAGAAACCCACCTGTGGACACTCAGGTGCTTGGGTTGTGGAAGAGCATAGCTTACAAAGCCTATCTATTCTTGAATATTTTCTGAATAGATGATAGAAGGAGCTTGCTCTAATAATGCTCATGTCCTTATGCTACTTTGACTATTGATATAATAAAATACTGTTAATTTCAGTTATATCATGTCCTCTTTGGAAAATTTATAATTCAACTAAAGTATATTAAGCTGTCTGTATTTACAGATACATAAAAGTTAAATTTAGAAGCATCTTTAAAAACTAGTTTAGCCCAATACAAAAAAAAAAGTTTTCTTATTCTTTCAATGTTTTGGTTTTAAATCTAAAATATTCTGTAGCTTTGACCTCTGCCAGAGACATGGAAATTAGCAACTACCATCTGAACCCTTCCCATCCCATCTGCCATGTCTAGAAAACGAATTCTAATTTTATAAAAGCAAAAAGAATTTTAGCATCATGGTAATTAATTATTGCTTTTAAAACACTATTAACAAGTCAGGAAATGACAGATGTTGGCGAGGATGCGGAGAAAGGGAAACCCTCCTACACTGTTGGTGGGAATGCAAGCTGGTGCAGCCACTCTGGAAAACAGTATGGAGGTTCCTCAAAAAGTTGAAAATAGAGCTACTGTACAACCCAGCAATTGCACTACTGGGTATTTACCCCAAATATACAAATGTAGGGATCCGAAGGGGTACATGCACCCCAATAGCCAAACTATGGAAAGAGCCTAGATGTCCATCAACAGATGAATGGATAAAGAAGAGGTGGTATACATATGCAATGGAATATTATGCAGCCATCAAAAAAACGAAATCTTGCCATGTGCAACAATGTGGATGGAACTAGAGGGTATTATGCTAAGCGAATAAGTCAATCAGAGAAAGACATGTATCATATGATCTCACTGATATGAGGAATTCTTAATCTCAGGAAACAAACTGAGGGTTGCTGGAGTGGTGGGAGGTGGGAGGGATGGGGTGGCTGAGTGATAGACATTGGGGAGGGTATGTGCTATGGTGAGCGCTGTGAATTATGTAAGACTGATGAATCACAAACCTGTACCTCTGAAACAAATAATACATTATATGTTAAAAAAAAAAAAAGAAGATAGTAGGAAGGGAAAAATGAAGGGGGGGAATCGGAGGGGGAGACAAACCATGAGAGACCATGGACTCTGAGAAACAAACTGAGGGTTCTAGAGGGGCAGAGGGTGGGGGGATGGGTTAGCCTGGTGATGGGTATTAAAGAGGGCACCTATTGAATGGAGCACTGGGTGTTACACGCAAACAATGACTCATGGAACACTACATCAAAAACTAATGATGTATGGTGATTAACATAAAATAACAATTAAATTTAAAAAAACCACTATTTCACTTAACCTTTGCTTCAGGCATTTCTCTGGGTTCATGGTTGTAGCTGAAATACGTCCTTTCTTGGTTCTTTTTAGTGGGGCTCTGTTGGCATCAAAACCCTTCAGTCTCTTTATGTCTGATTATGTCTTGATTTTGTCATGAGAATTTGGATGGGTTGTAGAATTCTAGACTGACAGCTATTTTCCCTCAACATTTATTGTTGCTTTTGAGAAGTCTGTTGTCAATCTAAGTGTCTTTTCTTTAAAGGTAAAATGTCTTTGTTAGGAAATATGACTCCAGAGGTAACTTTTACTGTTTTTTCTTTGATGTTCTGAAATTTCACTGTAATGTGTTTAGATGTAAATTTATTCTATTTTTGCTTCTTGGCATTTGATTTTCATGTTCTATCTGAGGAAACAAATTTTTAAAATTCTGAAAAACACTAAATGAATGTCTCTTTTAATACTGCCTTCTTTTTTTGGCAGGGAGGAGCAGAGAGAGAGATTGAACAGCAAGCAGACTCCATGCCCAGCACAGAGCCTGACTCGGGAATTCCATCTCACGACCCTGAGATCATGACCTGAGCCGAAACCAAGAATTGGATGCTTAACCAACTGAGCCACCCAGGTACCCCTTAATATTGCCTTCTTATCAACTCATCTTTTTTTCACTTCTCATTCTGGCCTCCATGTCTCTCTCTTAACTCTGCTTTCAAGTATTAAACAAGCATTTTTATCTCTCTATATTACTTTCATTGTTACCATTCAGTTTACTAATTATCTACTTATCTCTCTTTTTTTTGTCCGTTGACTTTTTTTATTTCAATGTCAAAAATTTTTTTATTCCCAGGATTTCAAATTGGTCCTTTTATTATTATTATTATTGTTATTATTATTATTATTCATAGCCACATGCTTTTTTCCCTGAAAACTTTTCTTCTTCTTTTTCTTCTTCTTTTTATAAATATGGATATGGTACATTTTTAAATCTCTGCTAATACATCATGTATGTATAGTTTTTAGACTGCCGTGGTGTTTCTAATTTCTCAGGAGTAAATTTCCTATTTATAAAATGTGTAAGTGATCTTTCATGACCTTGATTTTCCTCATGTAGTATGGAGTTTTAGTTTGTAAGATTGTTCCAGGTCTTTCTTTTTAACCCTTTTTTCTGTACCTGTTTCTCCATATCTACTGATTTTTCAGTTGTTTCTACTTGGCTACCTTGAGGTGCAGGTGTTAGGTGGGTGGTTTGATTGTGAATCTTTGTTTCCTCTTCCACTATATCATTCTCCATCTCTTCTAACAATGGTCTGCTGAGATAGTGATTTTGATTTTGAGTCTGACCATATCTTTCAAAAACCTAAACAAGAGAAAGATACATTTAATATTTTTTAAAGATTTCACCTATTAGATTATCTTTCATAAACTGAAACAAAAATTCACAAGCCATCTTGAGCAGAAATTTTACAGTGACATATTAGTTAGAATCATAAGATCACATAAGGTCACAAGAAACTTTTCATTTTATAAAAAAATAAAGTTCAAATTCAGAAAGGACAAGGAACCTACATGATGCCACACATTTGGTGAGTGGAATACAGAAAACTATAAACCAATTCTCCAGACTTTTCACTTCTCTACCCCACATACTTAATCCTCCTTGTGCAAAATGCTCATTGACTTCTGAGAAGAAAGGCTGATGTTACTTTCATTCAAAGAAATAGTTGTCTTAAAATATCTCCAATTATAGATTACTGTTGGTCCATAAGGCTGATTTGGCCTGTACATATATGTGTTTGGTTCACTTAGAGTTGATAGTTTACATGATTTCTACTACTAAAAGTGAAAGATAAAAAAAAAAAATTCAGACGGGAACACTTGGCAGCTGTAGGCCACAGTCTAGCCTGACAGTAATTACACAGGAATGAGTAACTACTGTGTCCATTTCATTGGAACATCGTTGTTCCTTCACCGCTCCCCATCCAGCTGCCTTACTCATTTATACCCCTTGCGTCTCCTCTGAGTTAGGGATCGCTGGTCTCAATGCTCACAGTGTTGTAACGCATCATTGAATTTTCATGTTTCTGCTACAGTGGTGCCTCACAAATATTTACTGTAAACACCTCATTACACATTAGTTTTACCAGATTAAGTATTTCTAGTAAAGCAAAGTACTTTTTAGTAGACATTATTTTCTAGCACCTGGCGGAGTAGTGGCAGGTGCGGGACTTCTGCAAAGTTAGACAGCAGGGAAGATGGCTTGGGCACCTGGGGGGCAGATGCCAAAGAATTCAGGAGCCAGACCAAGGCAGAACAGAGGGTGCTGATGGTGTGTTTCGCTTTCTTTCTAATGGTGCTGGGCACTTGCCCTAAAGCCCTTGTGCTACTACTAGGCAGCATAAGGTCTCTGTCATTTCCTTGCCCCTTTCCCGGGAGGGCACAAATACTCGTGGGACTCAGGGTCTCTCTAAAATTGAGTTCTAGGGCTAAGAGAAACTACCTCGAGCCGGAAGGTCCTCCTCATTTGCCCTCTGTACCAGTAGCCGGGCCTCCTTATTTCACTGGGGGTAAATTGAGGGTTAAGTATCAGAGGAATTAGAATGCACATCGGGCAGCAGCCAGAAAAATACCTCTCCAGCAGCAGCTGTTGTAAGAACTACCCTGTTTGGTGTAGAACTGATCAGCAAAAAAACCCTCAAAATGATTGTTATACCTTTGTGTGTGTGTGTGTAACTTTTATTAAGACCTTACAGTTACTAATCTAGTCTCTCCATTGGCAATCCTGGCCATACATTTCAGACTCTAAATGCCATTAGCCAAACTTAATAGTCATTTGGGTTTTCTGCCTCCTGGCTATCTTTAGCTCATTATATTGGAAATCACCAGTCTGAATTACTGTATATTTGTGTATTTGTACACATACATAGAGATAAATTTCCGCTGACATCCAGTAATATTCCTCAGAGAGTGTGCAGATAATATGGAGTACAATGTGGAGGAAGTTTTCTTCATGGCTGCAAACTATGTGTAGACCCTCTTCTGTTTGCTCTTACGGCATCTTATGCTGACATCCATGTGGAGCTCACCAAATGTATGTGTTTCCTAGGGCTGCTATGACCAAATAACATAGATGTGGTGCCTAAACAACAGAAATTTATTTGCTAACAGTTCCAGAGACTGAAAGACCAAGATCAAGGTGTTAGGAGATTTGGTTTCCGTTCTTCCCTTAGCTTGTCAATGGCCATCTTCTTGCTGTGTCCTCGCATAGCCTCTTTGTGTGTCCAGATTTTCTCCTTTTATAATAATACAAATCAGGTTGGACCAGGGCTCACTCTAACAACCTTATTTTAGCTTAATCACTTTTTAAAGACCCAATCTCCAAATACAGTCACAGTCTGAGGTATTAGGGGTTAGGACTTCAATATATGAATTTGGGCTGGGGCATGCAATTCAGCCCATAACACCAGGCATATTGCATTTGGTCACTTGATCTCTCTCTCACTAAAAATGAACCCTTGAAGGCAGGAGTCATGACATACTTATCTTTGTGTTCCTTATATCCATCATTTTTTATTAAAAAGTATTTATAGAACTGAACAAGCTCACAAATATAACTATGATGTTTTGTGGCTTTTTTTTTTTAAGATTTTATTTATTCATTTGAGAGAAAGAGAGAGAGTGCACAAGCAAGGGGAGAGGGAGAAGCAGACTCCCTGCTGAACTGGGAGCCCAGCGTGGGGCTCGATCCCAGGACCTGGAGATCATGGCCTGAGCTGAAGGCAGATGCTTAACGATCTGAGCCACCCAGGCACCCCTGTTTTATGGCTTTTAAAGAAGTTTTATCTGGTCCTGACATATTTGGTTGGGAATGATAGGTGTCCAAGGGACTTATCTACAACTAAATTACTCTTAAAAAAAAAAAAAGATTTTGGGCGCCTGGGTGGCTCAGTTGGTTAAGCGATTGCCTTCGGCTCAGGTCATGATCCTGGAGTCCCGGGATTGAGTCCCATATCGGGCTCCTTGCTCAGCAGGGGATCTGCTTCTCCCTCTGACCCTCCCCCCTTCTCATGTGCTCTCTCTCTTTCTCTCTCTCAAATAAATTAAAAAAAAAAAGATTTTATTTATTTATTTGACAGCGAGAGCATGGTGGGGGCAGATTCCCCACTGAGCAGGGAGCCCAACGCAGGGCTCAATCCCAGGACCCTGGGATCATGACCTGAGCCGAAGGCAGAGGCTTAACTGACTGAGCCACCCAGGTGCCCCCTAAATCACTCTTATAAAGAAATTCCAGATCTAGCCATATATTCAGAGATAGGTGAGGAGTGTAATATTCTATTTAAAATGAGTGGCGGCAGAAAATAACACAAGGAAAGAAATAATAAGAGAACATGAAAGGATAAATATATATTGGGAGAGGCTGGTTCCTATGTCAGATAAAATAAGCCATTGTCTATACCTTCAAAGGAGTCATAACTAACTTAGAAACAAATATGTTCAAATGCTTAGGAATCCGTAGGAATAAAATATGGACAAAATTGTATCAGTGGGTAGGAGTTAGCAAGTGCTGCAGCATTAACAGAGACCAAATTCCATTGTGGTCTAAAAAAACGGCTGTGGGTTTTGGTGAGCAAAAGTTGTGACTGCATTGAGGACAGTAGGTTAGAGTTGGACTTTTAAGGATAAAGGGGGAAAAGCAGCACAATTTAAATTGTGCTTGGTTCCAGAATTTGGAAATCAGGGATGGTGAAATTATCAGGAGGCAGTTGAAAAAGAAAAACCAGCATAGTTTTCATAGCACAAATCTTGTAATTATTTTATTGACTAACATATTTGCCTTTTTAAAAATGTTCTTTCAACTCTGAACAATGAACTGTCATGAATATTTCAATCATAACATAAATTAAGTCTACCCGGCATAAGCTTAATGTTTTCAAAGGATAAATAGCTAATTAGTCATAACGAAATGACTTATCCTTCTGTCTAGCTGGCATTGGAGTTAAAGTTCTGAGATTTAGGTCATGAATCATGAGGTGATGGGTTCCCCCTACCCCAATCATAAGCAGGGAAGAAAAAGAAAATATAGAAAAACCCATAAGATGTTTTGGATGTCAGTAATCTACTACTGTAAGCTCATAGGAAAATTCCTGTTCGCTTAAAACATGACATTTGGCAAGTATTTTATGTCACTTTATCCTATACACATGCCATGGCATAACTTAATTTTTTTCTTATCTTTTTAGCTCTAGGTGTTGTTTCCAAATCTTCATGGTCAAATGACAGTTTATATTGTCTTCAACAGAAAAATCAGCCCACACTTTAGGTACACCTCTTGGAAAATATGTGTCTGTCCATTGATGTTGGCTGAGTTTTTCTTTCTTTCTTTCTTTTTTTTTCCTGACCTGGCATGGTTTACACTTCTCTCATGTTTATCTTAGGAGGTATATGTCCTAGCATGGAATGCAAATTAGGAGTACAGAGCATTCTAAACTAGTTTCCGTTTGACATTATTTAATAACAGATTATTATGATTGCTTTAAATAGTGTATGAGGTATTTCTTGGAACTCAGGTTTTACATTCATTTATTATAGTTTTTTTAAACTTTGTTATAGATGATAGTAATTAAGATT